TTTCTCCAGAAATGCTTTCTTCCCTTTCTTCACTCATATTTACTGTTCACTAATAATGTCTTAAGATCCAGTTGCACCTCACTGTCCCTCCCATGCTCTCCTTCCTGGAGTTTTTTGTAGCCTTGGGTGCTCAGGCTGCCCTCTACAAAGTCTGGGACTTTTGGTCTCCTTTTCTAAGCTTGGTCTGTCAAGTGTTGTTTTAATCCCATGTCCCGTCTCCCCAAAAGACAGCATGCATCTGTGCGCTTGACGCCAGGGTCATTTCTTATCACCAGACCTCAGGACAGGGCCCTATACCCAGGAGAACTCAAATATCTAATCTTACAGAAAAATTATTACTTGGGTTTATCAGGAAAATATAAGTTCATAGGATTTATTCCAAAAGCAGAAATAAAAGCAAGTAAAGATAATATTGACAATAGCTATCATTTATTAAACATCTACTATGTACTAAACAGTGTCCCAGATGCTGTAGATTTCCTGTATTTCTTATAATAACCCTCATAGGTAGAAATTAATTTTAGCCCCATTAGATGAAAAAAATTGGAACTCAGAACTTAAATAACTAGCCCAAGATCACAAAACTAGGAAGTGTCACCCCTGGAGCTGAGTCCAAATTTGTACAACTCCAAAGCCCCTGCTGGTCCCATCAAACTCTCTAGATGTACATTATCCAATATGCTGGCTACTAGCTACATGATGCTATTTAATTAATTAAAATTAAACATTCAGTTCCTTGGTTACATTTGCCACATTTCAAGTGCTCAATAGTCACATGTGGCTAGTGGCTACTGTATTGGATTGTGCAGACAGAGATCAATTCCAGCATCATAGGATGGATGCTCTAGTGGGCAGCACTGCTATAGATAGTCTCTGGTCTTCCACTAGAGTATGGGGAAAAGATGGCTTCTAGTAAATTGTAACAGGCATGATATGAGGAGAGGACAGCTTCCTAAAAGCAAAGGCTTTTCCTTTGTCTGTAAAGTCAGACAAACGGAATCTGGTCGGATTAGAGGGTTGCACAGTTTAGGTTCCAAAACAAACTCTTAACACACTGCAACTATCATTCTTCTAAGTGACCTGAAAGACATTTGGTGGTGATAAACATTCAGAAAATTAGTCATCCAACTACCCTTCCTGCCATATTCACTAGAAAATATTCTCCAGATTACTGAAACTAGAGAAAAAGATGGAATTTAAAAGTTTTAGGTGAGAAAAAAAACTGGTGATAAATATGAAATTAATTAAACTTACAAAAACCTAAGGATAATGACACCAGCTGCTAAAGGGCTTTTGCTGGTAAATTAAATTGGGGGAAAAGTTAACTAAAAAGGACACAAAAGAATAAGAAAATAAATGTTAAAGAGGATTATTAAATTTACAGAGCAAATCAATGAAGAATTGGAGGAAAGAAAGGAGAAAAAACAAAAACCTAAAAATCTGTCTTCTAAAAATGGTGGCAAGGTCATTCCTTTAAATTTTTTATAAAGAGTGTTATATGAATTTTTGTAAAATGTTGAAGGGCACTCTCTAATAAAATCATAGTACAAACCATGTGCACAGTACACATGCAAAAAGAAAACCATAAAAGAGACAACCACAGTATTTGATGTTACCATTATTTAAAATTTTAGCCATTCTAATAGGTGTGCGGTAATATCTCGTGGTTGTAATTTGCATTTCTCCGATGATTAATGATGTTGAACATCTTTTCTAAAAAGTTATATTAATAATAAATATTATAGCTCTCTCCCTTTACTTCGCTATTATCAATGGTAACTTTTACTCCCTCCAGAAAATGCTGTTACATTTAGCACCTTTGCTCAGCAGTTTATAGGTAGCTTTGCAGGGGGAGAAGAGTCCTAGGGAAACATTCTTTATGGGAAGAACAGTAAAGGTAAAAAGGTTAGAAATAAAAGTAGTAGTGACTTTTAGTAAAGATGGACATTTTCACATTTTCTGGAAAATGATACATTTTGGAAGAGGAATATGCTGAAATTTAGCAGATTTTGTATCTTTGCATCCAAAGGAAAGAATAAGAGGTCCAAACACAAAGTGTGATGAAGCAGAGCTGAGGGAGAGGATGAACTACCTGGAAGCTCTTTGACCAGTCACTTCTCGTACCAGCGACAACACAGAAAATGCTTTCTAATTATCGGCTGAGCAAGGACTGATTTATTAGCATTTGCTTCAGTAATACTTCAGGAGGTGTTCATGGAAGAAATTATGACAAGGAAAAATGGCAACATTTCCCCTAGTTTTATAGAGATATAATTGACCTACAACACTGTACAAGTTTAAAGTGTACGACATAATTATTTGATATACGTATGTATTGTGAAATGATCACTACAAGTTTAGTTAACATCCATCACCTCACATAGCTAAAAATTTTTGTTTTCTCGTGATGAAACGGTCTTAGCAATTTTCAAATATACAATAGAGTATTGTCAACTATACTCATCATGCTGTACATTATATCCCCCAAATTTGTCTCATAACCAGAAGTTTATACCTTCTGACCACCCTCACCCAATTCCCCCAGTCCCTACCCCCTCCTCTGGCAACCACCAATCTGTTCTGTTTGAGTTTGGTTTTTCTAGATTCCACACATAAAATGAGATCATAGTTATTTATCTTTCTCTAATATTTCCCTTAATATAATGCCTTCAAGGTCTACTTACATTGCCCCAAGTGGCAGAATTTCCCTCTTTTTTTGTGGCTAAGTAATATTCAATTCTCTGTATATACCACATCTTCTTAACCATTCATACGTTGATGGACACTTAGGTTGTTTTCATACCTTGGCTATTGTAAATAAACCCGCAATGTACAGGGAGTACAGAAATCTCTTTGGGATAATGATTTCATTTCCTTCAGATAAGTATCCAGAACTGGAATTGCTGGATCATATGGTAGCTCTATTTTTAATATTTTGAGGAACATTCACACTGTTTTCCTAGTAGCTGCACCAATTTACACTCACATTGGCAGTGAATAAGATTTCCCTTTTCTGCTCATTCTCATCAACACTTGTTAGCTCGTCTTTTTAATAACAGCCATTTCAACAGGTGTGAGGTTTCGATTTGCATTTCCCTGATGATTAGTGATGTTGAGCACCTTTTCATGTACCTGTTGGCCACATGAATTATCTCCTTTGGAAAAATGTCTATTCAGTTCCTTTGCCCACTTTCAATTGGATTGTTTTTTTGCTATTGAGTTGTAGGAGTTCCTTATATATTTTGGATATTAACCCCTTATCAGATATATTGTTTGCAAATATTTATTCCCAATCTATAGGTTGCCTTTCATTTTGTTGTTTCCCTTATTGTGCAGAAGCTTTTTAGTTTGATGTAGTCCCACGTGTTTATGTTCACTTTTGTTGCCTTTGGTACTTCTGGTGTCATATCCAAAAAATCACTGATACGAGCAATGTCAAGTAGCTTTTTCCCCATTTTCTTCTAGGAGTTTTATGGCTTCAAGTCTCACATTTATGTTTTAAAATCCATTTTGAGTTAATTTTGTGAGTGGTGGAAGACAGAAGTCTAGTTTTACTCTTTTCCATATGAATATCCGAATTTTTCCCAGCCCCATTTATTAGAGACTGTATTTCCTGTTGAGTATTCTTGGCTCCCTCATCAAATATTAGTTGACTGGATATGCATGGGTTTATTTTCCAGGCTCTCAACTCAGTTCCATTGGTCTCTGTTTTAATTAGTATAGCACTAGAATATGGTTTGACATCAGCAAATGTGATGCCTCCAGCTTTGTTCTTTTTTCTCAGGATTGCTTTGGCTATTTGGTTAACAGTCCTGAATGCTTTTTAGCATGCTTATCACCTGCGGATCTTTTCCAGTGAAATGTCTGTTTATGTCTTTTGCCTATTTTCTAATGGATTTTTCTAAGCTGTTGAGGGTCAAGTTCTTTATATATTCTAGATGCTACTCTTTTGTCAGCCATGTAGTTTACAAATGTTTCCTCCTAGTCTGTGGCTTGACTTTCCATCCTCTTCTTGTAGGCTTTTGCCGTTTTTAATTTTGGTGAAGTCCAGCTTACCAATTTTCCCTTTTTCGGATCGTGCTTTTGGTTGGTATCAAGTCTTAAGAAAGAATTCTTTGCCGAGCTCTAGATCATGAAGATTTTCTATTTTTTCCCCCTAAATTTTCATAGTCTTACATTGAAGTACAGGATACTTTTGGGTTCATTTTTGTATAAAGTATGAGGTGCAAATTAAGGTTATTTTTGTTGTTGAAAAGGCTATCCTAGCCTCTACTGAATTGCTTTTGCTCTTTGATCAAAAATCCATTGAGCATATTTGTGTGTCAATTTCTGGGTTCTTTATTCTGCTCTAGTGATCTATGTGTCTATTTCTTTACCAATACCACACTGTCTTGATTACTGCATTAATCAAGGGCTGCCTAATAAAGTATCACAGATGGGGCACCTGGGTGGCTCAGTTAGTTAAGTGTCTGACTCTTGGCTTTGGCTCAGGTCATGATCTTAGGGGCATGAGATGGAGGTCTGTGTCAGGCTCTGAGCTCAGGAGGGGTCTGCTTGAGATCCTCTTCCTCTCCCTCTGCCCCTCCCCTGCTTGCATGAGAGTGTACTCTCTCTCTTTCAAATAAATAAATCTTAAAAAAAAATAAAGTATCACAGACTGGGTGGCTTAAAACACATTTATTTTCTCACAGTTCTGTAGCCTAGAAGTCCAAGATCAAGGTGTTGGTACAGCTGGTTTCTTCTGAGGGCCTTTTTCCTTGACTTGTAGATGGCTACCTTCCTTTTACCTAATCAGTCTTCCCTCTGTGCCTGTCTGTATTCTTAAATCTCTTCTTATAAGGACCCAGTCATATCTGATTAGGGCCCACTCATATGATTTCATTTTACCTTAATTTTAGAAATACTGTACTGGTGGCAAGATTTATTATTTTACCAGATTGCTTATGAACATTAGTGGCTGTAATATGTACTGCAAACTTCAAGAATACACTCAAAACATCTCAAGTGATTAAAAAAATTTTATTTGTCATCCCAAACTGATCATATATTACAAATTCTGATCAAAATAATAATATTAAAGGTATTTTCAGTAGTACCACAAACTACCTGTACCTGAAGATAAAACCAAATAGTCAACTGGTAAGCATACGCTGAAATTTACCCATGTTTAAAATATTTTGTTTAAAAAATTCACATACATGTTTTTCTGGTTATGAAGTAGAAGGGGCACACAAATAGCTATATATGATTTTCATTTAACAAACCCATGCTCTGAATGAGTCATCAAAAGACTACAAAATCTTGTAATTTTTTTTAATGGTGCATGAGACAGTACATTGTTTTATAAAACAAAATACAGTACTTCTAATTCTCCTCATAATCCTTTTCAACTCCACTGTGAGAGCTGCTCTGAAGCATCTAGCAGCTTGGCTGGCTAACGGGTTCCTATATCATCTCTACATTGGGTTGGGTTGTGGGGGATGGCAAAAGGGGCATTCTAATCTACAAGTTCTGAGAATACAGAAGTACAGATTCCTCATTAGAAAAATGTAGACTTGCCTACTGGTCCTGTGAAAAGGTATCACTATTGAATTGGTCTGTTTGACTTATAAACTATAATTAGATTTTAGTTTGTGCAGAGAAGCTTAAAACAGCTTAAAACATACCCTGTAGATTCTTGCCTAAGTGAGAGAAACACAAATTTGATGGAAGAAGGTGGAAATGAGTATTTTCAATTCTCCTTTACTAAAACACAGATATAAACATTCATCAGCACAGACAGTTACATGAAACTAAGTATTCCAAGTTCTTTCCCTCTGCAAATCATGACTTATATCTGATGTTGCTGGGTAGAGATTTACTAACAAGGAGATGAGGGTTTACCTCTAGAAAAAGCTAGAATATTGAAGAAGTCCAAGGCAGAACAAGTACCAAATCTAGGGAGGTAGAGAGAGTGAATTGCTTGGGACCAAGGAACTATGTAACATAAGGGATCATATAAGGAGAGCTTAGGAGACAATAGCTTGACCAATAAAATAAAAATACTAGTTCTATTTAGAGAAGGAGGCAACTCGGTAATGTCTCAGAATTCATGAACCATACAATTTGTCCTTTAATGCCTTGATACAATGAAACAATTTTTTTCACTAAGCAAATTCAGTCATCCAGCCTCCTGAGTAAGGCTTATGTTCTGAACCATAGTTTTTTTAATCACATTTGAAGAATAATTAGAAAAGGGACTTGGAGGTAAGAAATGGAACATTTCTTGAGTATTTACTTAATCCTAGGCCTGATGCTAAGCACTTTATGTTCCATTTTATCCTAACTAAAAACCCTGAGAAGTACACATTTCCCCAATTCACTCATGTGGAAGTTGAGGCTGAGAGGTCCTCTACCACAAACCCCACGTGATGAACCTGGGATGCAAACTCGGGCCTAATTCAGAAGTTTGTGATCTTTTTATACCAGCATGTTGATTCCCCTAAGTGAAATGTCAGGTGACCTAGCCCAGGTCTTAATGAGAGAAGAAGAGGAGGAGGAAAGAGAAATTGCTGCTGGGACATTTCTTCAAAGATATCCTTTTGTCTGATCAGGAACTGGAGTTTTTCCATGATAATTATATATTAGCAGTTGGGAATGTGGCACTTTCTCTGACTAGTCTTTGAGGGAAATTTTCCCATGGGGATTTATAATATTAAGGATGAAAGAATTGTTCATTTTCCAGAAGCTGAAACTTGGGGGAGACTTAGAAACATCTGCAGCCTTAGGCTTATGGTACTGGGTGAGGTGTTAGGCTAGAGTGTGGGAATTCATTCCAAGTGGGTTTCCCAAATGCAGCTCTGGTCCCCAGTCTACAAACTGCTGCTCTTCTATGTAACACCTTGTTGTCCTATGTGCCATCTGAAGTTTGGAGCCAAGTTAAGACTAGATACAGTGGTTTGGGGGTCACAAAGAAGAAAAGGAATGAGTACAACTTATTCTCAACTGCTTGTATCCGTCAGAGAGTATTAATAAGGGGAGGAGGAAGAATTCTTCAGAAATGAGTGCTTAGCTAATGGTTTCCCGGGGAAGTGGAAGGGGTGAAGTAGCAATGGGACACATCTTGAGCTTACGAGAATCAGGTACTCCTGGATGTTAACAGTATCATGATCAAAGGCTGATGTCTCCAAACATGAACTATTTCACCTTTTGGAGATATGGCATTTTGCAGATAAAGGTATGAAGACAGCCTAAGTATTCTGGACAAGAAAGAAATACTCCTTCTTGATCTCTTTGTCACCTCAGGCTCTCAATCTTAGCAGAAAGATATGAAGTGGGGAATGGCAGAAACACCCTGAAACTGACTCCTGAGACACAGGATGACTTCTCTGTCAAGCATCTCAAGCAGAGTTAAAGATGCTGTGCTGTGAGGCAATGACACAAGGACTGGGCCAAAAGTCATGGCACTCTTGAGTTTTAGCTTCAGGAGGTTCTCAAATCACTGCTCTCTCTTCTTGATTTAGCTATAAAATAAGAGGGAGAGAATGAATGTGACGCTATAGCTTTTAAGACTCAAGAGCAAGATGATTTTCACTTGAGATGAACTTGTTCCGGGAGGATGGTGGTAGACATTCTGCCATCTAGTCATACTTCAGGGTTTGTAACTAGGGAATCAAACTGGCTATCCCACTGCCCAGCTTCTTAGGGATGCTTGATTTTAGGAACTGCAGTTGTACTCCAGTTTTATTCCAGGGGCCAGATGTCAGTAGCTGCAGCGGAGGGGAGAAGGCCAAGTAATCCCTGCTTAGAGAAGAAGCAAGTGGCCACCTGGTTGTCAAGTGAGAGGTTATCACTCTTGCCTCTCAGGATCTGTCTGGAGATATCCATGGGTGCCTAACTTCCAAGTTAATATAAGAGGTTTTCTCCTGTAAACCAAAGTGGACCTGAATGTGGCCATAAGAGGAGAACTGTTGTTGGAATACTCAGGTGAAGAAAGAAAAGTGGTCTGATGAGGTTTGATGGTAGATCCACTGGACAGTGAGCACAGTTAAGAACTGTCAAGAAGCACAGAATGAAGTATGGCTGAATCTGTATCAGAAGCAAGCCTGGCCTTCAGAGTCTGGGGAAAAGCTTTCATTCCCCCAAGGTAGGGTAGGAACCAAGCAAGAGCAGAAGCCTGTGAAACCAGAAGGTAGTCAAGAAAGGCATTTCAGCTGCCAGTGGGCTGTGGAGGGAAGGATATAGAATCTCTGTCAATGGGGCCAAGACATCTTAGATTTTGGATTCTTCAAGACCTTGGACTCCAGGGAGAGATAAAAGAAAAATAACTTAAATAAGGGTGGGTAGAGGGGCGCCTGGGTGGCTCAGTCATTAAGCGTCTGCCTTCGGCTCAGGTCATGATCCCAGAGTCCTGGGATCGAGCCATGCATCGGGCTCCCTGCTCAGCAGGAAGCCTGCCTCTCCCTCTCCCACTCCCCCTGCTTGTGTTCCTGCTCTCGCTGTTTCTCTGTCAAATAAATAAAAATCTTTAATATATCTATATATATATATAAAGGGTGGGTAGGACCCCCTGGCAAACAGTGGAAGCCCCAACTTGAAATGGGCAGAAATATGTATGTACTTTTACATACACTTCTAGATGCTGAGCACAAGCAAATGGTCCTCACTAAGCAGGGTAGATTTTACCGAGGAACACTATTATTATCCTGATATTTTTTCAACCATGAAAAATGAAATTAGGTTCAGCTATTTAGAATTCGGGTGTAATTTCTATGGGCTGATTTTCCAGCAAAGAGAATCTGATTACAGTGGCCGGTCATTTGGGGACAAGTGTACTGGTAATCTGTAAGAGTCCCTGAAAACTTCATTATGTTAGTTATGAAAAGATCCAATGAGTACACATTGAAAGCTCATCCTAAGAGAGGAAGGTCAGTGGTTATCATTTATCAAAAAAAAAGTTTTTGGTGTTTTGAAAATATAGAGTTCGGTGGCTGCAGGTCACTTTTCCCAACTTTGTTTTAGGAAAATTCAGTCAGCCTATTCCCTCAGACCCTCTGGTTTCCATTCTGACATTGCTATTATTCTCTGGTTTTAGAGGAAAGTCTGGGATTTTGTTGAGAAAGTAGTCCTAAGCAGCCTGGATGAAATGTAAGACTTGGCTTCCTTTCCTGGACAAAGAAAAAGATAGCAGTGTTTACTGTGCCTACATATACCTTTACTTCTCACTTGGAATATACCATTAAATGACTCATGAAGAGATGGGGGAGACAGGGCCATCCCAGCCCACTCAGAAACACATCTTGAGGCGGGGAAAGGAAACTGAAGGGTTTTAAAATTGGTGGTACTTGATAAAGCAGGGAAGTCTGAGTTCTCGTCCCATCAATATGCAACAGACAGAACATCTAGATAGAACAATGAGAATGGACACAAATTTTACGAACACCATGATCTGGGGGTAGGAGGACGGAGAAAGCATTTGTCAGATTTGCCATTTATCTTCATTTTGGACATGTGATATAGTATAGAGGAGAGGGGACAGGTAGGCTTATATACCATTTAAATTGGTTTATAGGCCATAAATAAAGATACGGAGCTGTAATTGATGAATGAATACACAGAAGAGTACACTTAGAAAAATTAGAGGTATTTCTATTAATATTTTAGTGTTAACATTAAAATTGGAAGTACAAGGATTAAAAATTCAGAAAATATTAAAGTCCTTGAATAGCTCGTATTTTTACCTAACAGATGGTTGGTAATGAAACAAGGAAAGTAAGTTTTGTGAAATCATAACCCTTTCAAAATCATGTCTGGTAGCATGATCTCGCTTGAATGATTTGTTAACAAGTGCTACAGAGGTCAGTGAAAATATTCTCACAATAGCTGGGAATTAAAGCATCACACAAGCACAAGCTTCCTTTTCACTTCGAATATAAAAATAGAAAATGTACGGAAATTTGCATATCTTTGACAAAGCTAGAAAGAAGCTCTCATTCTGTTGCTTGTAAAATGAATCTAGCATCTTTTCCTGATGCCACCTAAAGTCTGATCACTTAGATATTAACTCCAACTCTACAACCTTAAAAGCAGCACTAACATACAAGCTTAGCTTCTGATTGCAGGAACGGGCTATTCTTTTTTACTGGCATATCCCTCCTTAGCTTTGCCCAATAAACCCATCATCCAGTCCAACCATTATCTAACATTCTGAAAGAACATCGTATTTTATAGGAGCTTCAAAGGTAAGGGTGTTTCCCTCAAAGGAAAACTGAGGTGCTTACCAAAGGGAAGGGGAAGAGACAGGCATGTGTGTCACTCATCTCCGCTTCTCCACTCTAACCTAGCACTGTACCTGGCACACGGGGACTCCTTAATAAAAGTAAAATGAGAGAATTAAATCAGATGGCTCAGAGGTTAGGACTCTTTCTGCATCTTCACTCTTGACATATCTTTGGCCCCTACTTACATTTGACAAATAGAGATTTATCTTCTTAAACAGTTATCCACCTTTGTTTCAGAAGGGGGATTCTACCATTTCAACCTACTGTCTCAGTATAACTGGATAACCTCATCCCACTCAGAAATAGGCCAGATTCCATTGGGCCGCACATTGGGGGGAGAGCGCTTCCAGTCCCATGTCTTCACAGGAATCTTCCAGCTCTTACCATAGTTGGCTTCAAGGTACTCAATAGTTTCACAGGGCACATGAATCTTCATGTCTACAAACTCGGTCCAGCACAGTGTAAACTTGGGAAACAGGTATCTGTGGCAAAACAGAGGCAATGGGGAGAGGGGTTAGGCTCAACAGTACAAGTGTGATCTAAAGAACCCAGCTGCTAGTGAGCTCTGGGCTGAAGGAAAATCCTCTCCCATTAAATAGCTTTGGGGATGGGGCACGTGGGTGGCTCAGTCGGTTAAGCGTCTGCCTTCAGCTCAGATCACGATCCCAGGGTCCTGGGACGGAGCCCTGCATCCGGCTCCCTGCTCAGCGGAGAGCCTGCTTCTTCCTCTGCCCCTTCCCCTGCTCATGCTCTTTCTCCCTCTTTCTCTCTCTTTCTCAAATAAATAAATAAAATCTTTTAAAAAAATAAATAAATAGCTTTGGGGACAGATATAGTGGACATTTTGTTGTTTCTGACTGTCCCCTTCCTCTTCTACTGTTGACAGCATCCTCATTTCCCTCCCCTATGGTTCAGGAGGGGCTGACCCACCCTCAGTCCCCAGAGATGGGCAAAAAAGACCCAGGCCTAACTGGTACATAATAGTGATTGGATCAGGGATAAGAATATACACAAATTAGGCAAATAAAAGTCAGCTTTGGGATTTTCGTTGGAACTACTGGAAGAAAGAGGCATTCTTTTTGCTGAGGTTTCTAAGCTGGTGGGATGGAAGCTGAGCATCTTTGTTATCTATTAGCAATGAGAGCCTGTCTGAGAATGAAGTCAAAGCAAAAAGCACCCAAAAGGTGGAGGAAACTGACAGAGCTCATAAAACCCTAGGGAAGGACCTGGATTTGGCTGTGGCCATTTCTTAAACATCTCAGGCAAACCAATGAATATACATATATTCATATATTCATCAAGAATATATATATATTTTTTACTACATTTCTAATATTTGCAATTCTTCCTACACAGAGGGAGGCACACGCAGCAGTGAGAAAGGAAACAAAACTCTTCTAGCCAGCCAGAGAACCTGAGTCAGCTCTGGCAATACAGGACATTCTCCAATTACAGCATCACCCATGCTTGTGCCTTTGGGGCAGGTCTTATTAACTCCTGTGTCCTGGGGTTCACTGTGCTCCTAGATGGCTTCCAACGACCTACTTAATTGAGATAGTTAAAGAAGAAACTCCCAGAGTCAGCCAGGGTATTTTTCAAACTCCTTTCCTAACTCATACTGTAGTGAAAATTTCACATGATACGTGAGCATGGTAGGATGCACTAAGATGGCTTTTTTTTTTTTTAAGATTTTATTTATTTATTTGACAGAGAGAGAGACAGCAAGAGAGGGAACACAAGCAGGGGGAGTGGGAGAGGGAGAAGCATGCTTCCCGCGGGGCAGGGAGCCCGATGTGGGGCTCGATCCCAGGACCCTGGGATCATGACCCGAGCTGAAGGCAGACGCTTAACAAATGAGCCACCCAGGCACCCCTAAGATGGCTTTTTGAGGAAAGCTTCACACCCCCATCCGCTCCTCAAATGCAGGAAGAGAGGTCTAAGGCCTAGATGTCCGTATGTCAACAAGATGTCCCTTAAAGACAGCTATACAGACCACATTTTTCCTGCTCTGCCTTTTATTTTACTACCTGCCCTTTTTAAATCTCTGTTCTCGGCCACAAACTTACTTTCTTATTTTTAACAGTTCACACATCATTAAATCCCCATCAAATTCAAACTGCTACTGAAAGACTCTAACTACAGAACACGAAAATAAGCAGCGTATGTGTCAGGTGAATCTTCTTTTCTTTCATAACCTGGACTCCCCAGGGATAGATAGCAAGCATGACTCCAAGATGCACTCCCAGGCTTCTGTCCCTCAGATGAACCTATCTGTAGTTTCTGCCTTTCTTTCATCTCAAATACTAAAGAATCTCTACACCAGTTCAGGCAACGTTAGTTATAATGAATTTTACTCTATCTCTAGTGGAACTATTTTAACTAGCGGGTAAGTTTAAGAAATTAAACCAAAACATGTTTCTTAAAGGTACTCCAGATCAGTAAATTTAATATATTACAAAGGAAAGCTAAAACGAGCAGTTCGTTAGATTTAAGTTTATATTACAGCCCGATATTCTGTGTTGGTGTTTTCTGAGAAATGTTTCTTCTCTTCACAAAATGAAACGAACTTTCAGTAATGAGATTTGAAGTGACAACAGCAGAGATCACAGAAATTTAAAATATCAGAGGATTAAAGAAAAAAGAAACAGGAAAGAGCCAGATGTCAAAGCATAATCATATTGTGGAAATGGGATCTAGCTGGGATGTTCTCCAAGGAAAGGTCAGTTCTCATATATTCTGCTTTTAAATATCATGTTTTACCACCAGATGAACATAAAGCCATACATGAAAATGAGAGGCTGAACAAATTCTAAAGAAAGCAACAAGTCCCTTCTACCCAAACCAATGGGTGCTGGCAGTTAATAGACAACCCCAGCTGGCTTCTGTGAAAAGGCGGCCACAGCAAATCTCATAGCTGAGGAAGAAATACGATACAGCATAGCTCCACCATCTGCTGGTCCCAATTTTATTCTGCACACTCATTTTCATGGAATTGCTTATTTTGTCATCAGACACAGCCATCCATCATGGGCCTCCACCTTCCCCTATCAGATGCTGGTCAGCAGAATGTCCACCTGTCGCATCCTATCAAGTTGACACACTCTAGTTGAAATGAGGCAGAAATTATGGCCCATCTCATAACATAGGCCAGGAAACTCCTCTCTAAATATTAGCCTCTCCAGTCTATCAAAGATCATAGGTCCAGGATAGACAGGGTGGATGAGAGTACTACAAATTCTACAAAAGCAATATTTTAAACAATGAAATGTTCAAATGAACCAAACCAAAACATTAAAAATACATAAACAATGTGAAAAATAACTCAAAGACAATTTAACTCAAATGTTCATTTTTGTTCCTAAATGGAAACATCCCTGAATCGCTGCGGTTTTCTTTTCACTGAATAATTTTCAATTCAGTCAGCAAAAAAGAATATTCCAGCTTCCTTGGAGGAAAAGAAGAAAGATAAACAAACCATAAAATGTGAAAAGCGGAGTGTAAAATAGGATGGAGGAGAGGCAGACAGGGGGCGGGTGACACACCACCACATGCCATGTACTCTGTCCAGGTTACCAGGGAACAATGACTAAGACTAGAACACACCATGGGTCTGCGACATCACCTTAGCTTTCAGAGCTAAGGTTAAGTTTGGCTAAGCAGTGTGTACTTCAGAGTTCTGGGACAGGATCCAAAATGTGAACAGATTTAAATTCAGACTAAGGCAACCCGTGTAAGCTCAACGAATCTTCTCACACACACAAAAATCCTTCCATTCATATTTTCTATTTCATAGCACCTTTACTTCATTTCATCTCTGCACAAAAGAATAATTAGAATTAAGAGTTAGCTGGAGTTAAAAAAAAAAGAGTTGGAATAAACTATTTCATTTTTTTCCTCACAAACCTCCTTATAATCTGTAAAACTACTTACTGGTGGTTGGATAAAGTAATCTCATCAGTTTAACTGTACAACTGATAAACATAATTGCTAAATGGAAAACACTGTTTTTATTATTACTAGTTAGCTAGGCTAAGAGAGAGACACCATCATTTACAACTGAATTTGGCCTTTTTAAAACATAAGTTGCGTTAAACTCTGAAGTTGGAATAGCAGAGCCATTTTTTAAACAAGAATTTCCTGCAAAACAACACAAATGGTTTATTCTCATTACCAATTTTGTCTCTGCTTTTAATTCTTAATTTCTTTTTCTTGTGTTATTCCAGTGCCTGAGCCCTCTAGCATTCTGCTTAATAGAAGCAGGGAGAGCATACTTTTTTTTTTTTCTGATTTTGACAGAAAGTCTTCTAAAGTTGATGATGAAATATGATTGCTCACTCTAGGTTTTGAGAATATTCCCTTCATCCAGTTAAAGAAATTCCAGATCCATTTTATTCCAAGCTTGCCAGAAGGCCTTTCCCCCACTTTTGGTTGATTATGAAATTATCAAAAGTTTTTAATGTCATCTATTGAAATAATAATGGAGGGTTTTTTCCCTTTAATCTTTTAATCCTTTAATGTTGAAAATTACACTAATACACAAGTACTACAAAATTTGATTCATTGTGTTTAAGATAGTCTCATCCGTGTTTAACAAGTGTATTTTCCCTTTAAAAATTTTTTGGCATTGTCCTAATCCAGTTTTGCTATCAGTTTCATATAATGAGTTGCTTAAAGCATTTGTTTTATTTTTAAATTTTCTGACATAGGAGATATAACATAGGGAGTAATCTATTCCTGTGAAGGCATGGTAAAACTTCCCTATAAACTTTCTTTTGGTAGGGAAAAGAAAGGGAAAGGAGAATTTCTGATTATTCAATTTCTCATAATGGGTTATCTAGATCTTCTTGAATTGATTGACATTTATTTCTTCCCAGAAAACTTTTATCATTTTCACATTATACCTAATTATCAAATTTAATGATTTAAAGTTGTCCCTAGCATTTTCTTTTGAAAGTCAGTGTAACTTAGTTCAGAGCATAAATTCTAAAGCTCTTGGACTTCAGTAGTGAATACTGTCTTTAATTTTACTTTTTTTTTTTCTTGATCAATCTTGCTAGATGTCTGTTTACTAGTTTTTAATTTATTTATTTTTTTAAGAACCAGCATTTGGATTTGTTGATCTTTGATACTGTTTTTTATTTCATTAATTTTTTTTCTTTTGACTTTCTTTGCTTTGCTAAGGCTACCTGTATTATTCTTTTACTTTCTTCAATTAAATGCTTAATTTTTTAATCTATTTTTTCATACTTGTGTTTTTAAGGCTGCAAGTTTACCTCTCTCCTTTTAACTGCATCCTACAAGTTTTGATATGTAGTACATTATCTTTGAGCCCCCCAAATTTTACAATTCCCATTATTTCCTTTTTAAGTCATTAGTTATTAAGGAGGGCATTTTAAAGTTTCCATATTTTATTTTATTTTTAAGATTTTATTTATTTATTTGAGAGAGGGGGAGAGGGAGAAGCAGATTCCGCGCTAAGCAG